ATGTTACAGTGAGCTATGATCACACTACTGCACTCTAGCCTGGGCAACAAAGCAAGACTTTCTGTCTAATTTTTAAAATATATATATATATATATATAAAATGAAAAGCTGAAGTGTTTAAAAGATACAGTTAAAGAAGACACTCTGAGTATAGGACAAAAAAAAGAGAAAGAAATGGCAGATAGAACAGATTCAATAGAAATATTACTGAATAATGTTGAGCCAGAATAGAAGAACCAACATCAAAAAGGAGACAGAGGCAGAGAACAGAGAAAATGGAAGAGAAGCAATTACCAAAATAATTCAAGAAAACATTATATAATTGATAGGCATGAGTTATTAGACTGAAAGAGCTCACTGGATACCCAGCACAATGGATAGAAATAGACCTATGGCAGTTTCAGAGTTCCAGAACAAGGAAGGATTCCAGAAAGTATATAAGTTGAGAGGCAGGAATATATACAAAGGATCAGGAATCAAAATGGCTTTGGGCTTGCCAAAGCAACATTGGAACTAGGAGACCAATGCCTTCAAATTTCTAAAGGAAAATTATTTCTAAGCTAGAATTCTACAGACAGCCAAACTATCAGTAAAATACAGAGAAAAATATATTTTCATACATTCCAAGATCTCAAAAAACTTACATCCCATTAAATACTGCTCAAGAACCTACTGAAAGATGTGCTTCACCAAAATGAGAGTACTACAAAAAGGAGGAGTGCATGGGATACAAGACAGGAGATCCAAGGAAAGAGAGAGGTGAAGGCAGTTCCTAAGGTGCAGGTGATGGAAAGGGATTTCTCAGATGACAGCTGTATGCTAGACAGGCAGGCAGTCCAGAATAAAGCAGTGTGATAGAGAAAGATAGAGAGAGACATATATTGAGTGCCTTCTGTATTCTACACTCTTGCACCTGATACTATATGGGTAGTAAGTCCCCTTAGCCTTTCATGGACCACGTACTGATGTTCTTGCTCTCCCCTTCCCGCCCTGCTACCTGGATAACCAAAGACATTCATTTTACCCCACAGAAGAGTTTTGCTTTGAATTGCCCCTGAGAGCTGAAGATTGGCCATGGTAAGTAAGTTTAGAAGCAGAAAACAGATAGCACCCTACCCCCACTGATCATATTCCTGTCATATTTCAGTACCTGGCCCACACTGTCAGAAGCCTTCACTGTGTTGAGGCTTATGTTTCTTAGGACTCATTCTTGCCCTCCCCAAATGGGGGCTATGATAAACTCTGAAAAATTGAAGCCAGACTGTGACTCTTTTAAGCTCATCTTCTCTTGAGAACCTTCATCAAACAGTGGTAATAATGCCTTTTCCATACATTGCCAGGTTTGTGCTTTCCTGATCGTTTTTAAACTAATTACCTTTTACATTCACTTATATGCCAATACACAGTTAAGTAAAACAAAATTGAAAAATGTATTATTGCCATTCACCATATTTAAAAAATAAAGGACAAAGGCAGACCAGTCTTTAGAAAATTAAAATTAAAAATTAAAAGGAAAATTACATACCAAGATTTAGACTATAGCATTCTGTAAAATTCAACACCTATTTATGTTCAAAAACAAAACAAAACCCTTTACAAACTAGTAATAGAAGGGAACTTTCTTAACCTATAATTCTATAGCATATAAAACACCTAGTCATGACATGTATTTTTTTAATCCCTTTAAAAATCAAGAATAAAACTAGGATATATATTATAATTACTTCTATTCAACATTATAGTGGTGGAAATCCTACCCAACATTTTACTTGCAAATGACATGATCATGTATAGAAAATATCACAGGACATGTACAAAAAAAGCTGTTAGAGGGCCGGGCGCAGTGGCTCACGCCTGTAATCCCAGCACTTTAGGAGGCTGAGGTGGGCGGATCACGAGGTCAAGAGATCGAGACCATCCTGGCCAACATGGTGAAACCCCGTCTCTACTAAAACTACAAAAATTAGCTGGGCGTGGTGGCACACGCCTGTAGTCCCAGCTACTTGGGAGGCTGAGGCAGGAGAATCACCTGAACCTGGGAGGTGGAGGTTGTAGTGAGCCAAGATTGAGCCACTGCACTCCAGCCTGGTGACAGAGCAAGACTCCATCTCAAAAAAAAAAAAAAAAAGCTGTTAGAAGCAATAAGTGAAATTTAGCAGAGGCACAAGATTCTAGTCAGTGATTCAAAATCATATTTCTCTGTTCTAGCAGTGAACTATTAACAAAATTTTGTAAAGTATAATTTACAATAACATCAAAATACATTAAATGTTTAAGGATTAAATTTAACAAAATATGCAAGAGCTGTACATTGAAAACTACACAGTACAGTTTTTTTGTTGAGAGAAATTGAAGAGCTAGACAAATAGTCAGATATACCATTTAATGGATCAGAAAAATTAATATTGTTAAGATGCCAGTTCTCCAATCCTGATTTGTAGGTTCTGCAGGCTTTTTGGTAAAAATGGAGAAACTGATTCTGACATTAACATGGGTATGCAAAAGATTGTGAATAGCCAAAACAGTTTTTGAAAAGGAACAAAGTTAGAGGACTTGCATGACTTGACTTACTCTGTGCTGCTACTAAGACAATGTTGTATTGGTGGTAATAATGAAATATAAATCAACAGAACATCCAAAAATAGACCCACACACCCATACTGACCTGTCTTTCAAAAATATGTCAAGGTAATTCAGTGGAGAAAAGATAATCTTTTCAACAAATTTTGCTGGGACAAATGAATATACTTAGGACGAAGAAAATGAACTTCAACCTCACACCAATATAAAAATTTAATACAAGTGAATTCTATTTCCAAATGTAAATTATATCTCTAAATGTAAAAACTAAGATTATAGAACTTCTAAAAGAAAATATAGGAGGTATTTTTGGTTCGGCAAAGGTTTATTAATAAAAAGCACAAACTATAGACAAAAAATTGACAAACTGAACTTCATCAAAATTTCAAACTTTTGTTCTTCGGAATATAGTATTCAGAAAATAAAAGGCAAGCCACAGACTTTGAGAAACTACTTGCAAAATATACATCCAACAAAGGACCTACATGTAAAATAAAGAAAGAATTCTTATAACTTAATAATAAGAAGGCAAACAACAATGTATCAAAGAAGATGTATGGATAGTAAATAACTACATGAAAGATGTTAAAAAACATTAGTCATTAGGGAAATGCAAATTAAAACCACAATGAGATACCACTACACACCTACTAAAACAGCTAAAGTGAAAAAGACTGACTTCAAACCAAGTGCTCATGAAGATGTGGAACATTTGGAACACTTATACATGCCTGGTGGGAATGTAAAATGGTACAGCCACTTAGGAAAACAGTGTAGCAGTTATCTTGAAAAATTAAATATTCACCTGCCATACAATCCAGCCATTCTTCTCCTAGCTATTTACCCAAGAAAAATGAAAACATATGTCTATATAAAGTGTTACTTGTGAATGTTCATAGCTGCTTTATTTGTAATAGTCAAAAACTGGAAACCCGCATTTGGACAGAGAAACAAATTGTGCTGTGACCATACAATGGAGTACCTACTCAGCAGTAAAAGGAAATGAAGTATTAATAACATAGATGAATCTCAAAGAATTATGTCAGATGAAAGAAGCTATACAATCAGGGGTATATATGGTATGATTCCATTTATACAGCATTCTAAAAATCACATTGGGAGGCCGAGACTGGCGGATCACGAGGTCAGGAAATCGAGACCATCCTGGCTAACACGGTGAAACCCCGTCTCTACTAAAAAAATACAAAAAACTAGCCAGGCGAAGTGGCGGGCACCCGTAGTCCCAGCTACTTGGGAGGCTGAGGCGGGAGAATGGCATAAACCCGGGAGGCGGAGCTTGCAGTGAGCTGACATCCGGCCACTGCACTCCAGCCCTGGCAACAGAGCAAGACTCCATCTCAAAAAAAAAAAAAAATGCAAATTGAACTTTTGGAGGTGGTGGATATCTTGATTGTGGTGGTGGTTTCATGGGTATATACAGATGTACTGATCAGAGAGACACTTTAAATATATTTAATAGTTTTAATGTAAGTCAGTTATACCTCGCTGAAGCTATAAAACATAGGTAAGCTGATACTATTTTCAGTACCTCACCAAGCTTCAATTTCCTCATCAGTGAAGTAAAAATAATACCCGCCTCACAGGGATTATTTGAACATTTTGTGTATGGTATGTGTGTGCATGCATACCCGTCCACAATACCCCCATATCACTCTCTCCTTATCAGGCCTTATTTTTCTTCAAAGCAATTATAATTATGTATTTGATTGTTTACCTCCCCCAGCTATACTATAAATTCTTTGAGAACAAAAACTTTACCTATTGATCATTACCTTCCCAAATGCTTAGAACAATGTCTGGTACACAGCACTCCATATGTATTATTAAGTGATTTAATGAGTGAATATGTGTGTGTGTGTGTGTGTGTGTGTGTGTGTGTGTGTGTGTGTGTAACTACATTGCCTTACATGGAGTATATGACTCAACCTACATTGATAGCTAATCCACTATCCCCCTGCCTCTTCCATGGGACCAAAAAAGTTATCAGGTACTTTCAGATTACCTTCCCAATACATTTATTAAAGTCTTCGTGGCTTATTTCTCGGCACCTTTTAATGGCTACATATAGTAGGCAAATTATTAGAAAATTTGATAGGTCTGCTTTTACTATCAACAAAAACTTTTCCTTCTAATGCAAGTGATGTCTTCTTGCCAGACAAGGTAGCATATGTCTATATTCCCAGCTGTTTGGGAGACTGAGATGGGAGGATCCCCTTGAGCGCAGGAATTTGAGGCTGGAATGTACAATGATCACACCTGTGAATAGCCACTGCACTCCAGCCTGGGCAACATAGTGAGATCCCAGCCCTTATAAAAAAGGAAGAAAGTGATGGCTTCAATTTCTGATCATGACATGACTTGAGAAAATTTTATTTTGCTTTTCTTTTTTCCCCCCACAGGGTTTATCCATGGCTTAGAGGACTGGGTTATACATCATTGGGTATATTTTTATTGGGATTTTTATTTTGGAATATAGATAACATATTTTGTGATTCACTGAGGTAAGATATATTTTCATTTCTTCAGAAATATTTTTGGAAAGATTTTATTAAGTAGAGAATTTTATAAACATATAGAAATAATAGTGCCCTGAAATGAATTTTTACTATTGTTGACATTTAAAAGATATGTACAGTATAATAAAGTTAGATTATTGGAATGCCTGTTTAAATTACCTAAAATTTTGGACCTGAGACTTTTTCATAACCTCTGTAGGGTTTAGGTTTTGTGTGTGTGGGCATCACAGAACTATATAGTTAATCAAATGTTGACTATTCCTTTGAAACCTGCCTGATCTGCTTCAGTGAATAAAGAAGACTGATTTGTAATAAGCATATGAAAAATATGTATATAAATATACACTTTCATATGCTTAATGTTATTTTCTTAAAAAGCAAGTGTTTTTTTACCATCTTTTCAGCAATCATATATTGCCAGGAGTTTGAATCTTAGACTTAGGTGTCTCTGGATTCTAGTCTCTCATTAAGACACTGTCTTTCTGGCCTCTTTTCCATGAAATGAGCATGCTGAATAGGTTAAACAGGTGGGTCATTCCAACTCCAAATCCTGTGAACTAACAATTTTGCATAAACAGAACAGAGGAAGGTACTAAACAGTACTACAGGAAGGCAATCAACAAAATTCAGACTGTGAGAAATCTACAGAATGAATGACCTGGCCTCTTCAACAGATAAATTGCAGAGGCACAGCCAGGCACGGTGGCTCATGCCTGTAATCTCAGCACTTTGGGAGGCTGAGGGGGTGGATCACTTGAGGTCAGGAGTTCAAGACCAGCCTGGTCAACATGGTGAAACCCTGTCTCTACTAAAAATATAAAAATTAGCTGGGCTTGGTGACGTGTGCCTGTAATCCCAGCTACTTGGGAGGCTGAGGCAGGAGACTCCAGCTTGGGCGACAGAGCGAGACTCCATCTCAAAAAAAAAAAAAATTGCAAAGGCAGGAAAAAAGAGAGAGGAGGAACATATAGATTAAGAGACTTAGAGATATCAACCAGATACAATGTGTTGGCCTTTTTTGGATTCTGATTCAAACAAACCAACTATTAAAAAAAATAAAGTATGAGAAATTTGGAACTTCGATGATCAGTAACTGAAACTTTTATGATATTAAGGGAGTATTATTATTTTTAGGTGTGAAAATGTGGTTGTGTTTTAGGGAGGTTTTCATATTTGAGAAATACATACTAAAATATTTAGAAATAAAATGATATAGTATCTGGGATTTGCTTCAAAAAGATATAAGAGAGAAAAGTGTCTAAGGGTTTAGATGACACGAATTGACCATAAATTATCATTGTTGAATACTGTTCCTCAGAATGTACTTTGGATAACAATGTGGCAGACTACAGGAAGCTTAAGGCAATTAAATAACTGCTGTTTTGAGAATGATATTTCAAAATGCTCTAAGACTATCAGCGTTAGTTGCTAAATATTTTAAAAATTTAACATGGTGATTTTCTCCCTCTCTCCACACAGGAACTTTCGAAAGAAGGTACCACCTATCATAGGTATTACCACACAATTTCATGCATGGTGGCATATTTTAACTGGCCTTGGTTCCTATCTTCACATCCTTTTCAGGTAGGAAATAGAGACTTTTTTAGCCTTGTACTAGAGTTTGTTTTTTTTTCTTTATTGTTTAAATAGGATGATGTAAATACTTTTTAAACACTAGAAAATTCACAAACATGAAAATTAAATAGTATACTCTTGGACAAACATTGGGTCAAAGAAGAAATCAAAAAATTAGAAAATACCTTGAGACAAATGAAAACAAAAATACAACATACCAAAACTTATGGGATGCAGCGAAAGCAGTACTAAGAGAAGTTTATAGAAATTAATGCCACATTTAAAAGGAAGAGAGATCTCAATGAAACTTTACACCTCAAAGAACTAGGAAAAGAAGAACAAATTAAGCCCAAATTTGGCAGAAGGAAAGAAAGAACATGGAGCAGAAATAAACAAAATAGAAAAATTTTTAAAAATCTATGAAACTAAGAGTTGGGGTACTGAAAGATCACCAGAATTGACAAATCTTAGCTAGACTAACAAAAAAAAAGAGACAGAAGACTCAAATAAATAAAATCAGAAATAAAAGAGACATTACAGTGCTGCCACAGAGATAAGAAGAATCACACAATTATATGCCAACAAATTGGATTGGATGACTTAGAAGAAATGGACAATATCCTAGAAACATAGAACCTACCAAGACTGAGTTGTGAAGAAATAGAACAGACCTCTAACTAGGTCAAAACATTCATAAAAGTAAGCAAGCAAGACACAAACAAAGGAAAAGACATCCTGTGTTCATGGATTAAAAGACAAAGTTGTTAAAATGTTCATACTACCCAAAGCCATCTACAGATCCAATGCAATCTCATTTAGAATTCCAAAGACATTTTTTACAGAAATAGAAAAAATAATTCTAACATTCATATGGAACCACAAAAGGCCACAGGTAGCCAGATCAATCTTGAAAAAGAGCAGACGTGAAACATCACACTTCTTGATTTCAAAATAAACAAAACATGCATAACTTTTTTGTTGTTGTACTTTTCAGGTATTGTATTTTTTACAAGTTGAAAGTTTGTGGCAGCCCTGCATTAAGCAAGTTTATAGGTGACATTTTTCCAGCAGCATGTGCTCACTTCATGTTTCTGTCTTATTTCTGTAATACTGACAATATTTCAAATTTTATTATTATTATTATATCTGTTATGGTGATCTGTGATCAGTGATCTTTTTTTTTTTTCTTTTTTTTGGAGACAGAGTCTCCCCCAAGCTAGAGTGCAGTGGCACGATGTTGGCTTACTGCAACCTCTGTCTCCTGGGTTCAAGTGATTCTCCTGCCTCAGCCTCCCAAGTAGCTGGGATTACAGGCATGCGCCACCACGCCTGGCTAATTTTTGCGCTTTTAGTAGAGATAGGCTTTCACCATGTTGGTCAGGCTGGTCTCAAACTCCTGACCTCAAGTGATAATCCCACCTTGGCCTCCCAAAATGCTGGGATTACAAGTGTGAGCCATTGTGCCTGGCCTGTGATTAGTGATCTTTGATGTTACTATTGTAATTGTTTTGAGGCACCACAAACCATGCACATATAAGACAGTGAACTTAATAAATGTTGTATGTTTCGACAGCTCCACCAATTGACCACTCCCCAGTCTCTTTCCTTCTCCAGTCTCCCTATTCCCTAAGAGAAAACAAAGTTTAAAATAGGCCAATTAATAACCCTACAGTGGCCTCTAAGTGTTCAAGTGAAAGGAAGAGTTACACATCTCTCACTTTAAATCAAAAGCTAGAAATGATTAAACTTAGTGAGGAACGTATGTTGAAAGCTGAGATAGGCCAAAAGGTAGGCATCTTTTGCCAAAGAGTTACCCAAGTTGTGAAGGCAAAGGAAAAGTTTTTGAAGGAAATTAAAAGTGCTACTCCAGAGAACACATGAATAATGAGAAAGTGACACAGCCTTATTTCTGATGTGTAGAAATTTCTAGTTGTCTGGATAAAAGATCAGACCAACCACAACACTGCCTTAAGCCAAGGCCTACTCCAGATCAAGGCCCCAACTCACTTCAATTCTGTGAAGGCTGAGAGAAGTAAGGAAGCTGCAGAAGAAAAGTTTGAAGCTAGCAGAGATTGGTTCATGAGGCTTAAGGAAAGAAGCCATCTCCGTAACATAAAAGTGCAAGGTGAAGCTGCAGCAAGTTATCCAGAAGATCTAGCTAAGATTATTGATGAAAGTGGTTACACTAAACAACAGACTTTTAATGTAGATGAAACAGCCTTCTATTGGAAGAAGATACTATCTAGGATTTTCATAACTAGAGAGGAGAAATCAATGCCTGGCTTCAAAGCTTCAAAGGACATGTTGTGACTCTCTTGTTTGGAGCTAATGTAGCTGATGACCTTAAGTTGAAGTCAGTGCTCATTTTCTATTTTGAAAGTCCTATGGCCCTTAAGAATTATGCTAAATGTACTCTGCTTGTGCTGTATAAAATGGAACATCAAAGCCTAGATTACAGCACATCCATTTACAGCATGGTTTACTGAGTATTTTGAGTAGGTGCTCAAAAAAAACCGGTTGCTGAACAAATGAAGCATATACTCATGTCTTTTTTTTTTCTTGCTTTGTACATGCAGAAGCACTATGGTTAAGTTTGTCAGTACACCAGTTTGTATGAATTTAAAACGAATTTGAAAAGCTTTCCCCCTCCCACTTTTCTTTCAGTTTGTATACAAGAACACTTTACCTGAGATATAGGCCAAAAGTGAAGGTAAGTCCACTTCTTATGTCCTGTGTGTGTGTTGGGGGTTTGGTACTGGGAGTATAGGATGGAGGTGGAAGAAGAAAGGGGAGTTTGCAAAGGTAGTGGAACAAACACAGGCTTTGGAACCAAAGGCATTGAATCTTTCATTTACTACTGCATGTTCTTGGACAAATCTCTTTAAGCCTTAGTTTCTTCAACAATAAAATTGAGCTGCTAATAACTACATTGCAGAGTTGTTTTAAAGATCAGAGATAATTTATATGCCCAGCTCCATGTTTGACAGTCAAAGCTTAATAAATTTAAATAAACTCAATAAAAATACTCTCTGATATCTGGTCCAAGACTAGAAGGAATAAACTGTGAAACTGTGCTTAGGCTACTAATACCAGGACAATCACTAGCAAACCTATGTATAGTCACAGCCCCATGGATTCTTTCTCATAGTTTTTTAAGGAATAACATGGAACAATTTTGTCTTTTCTCATTTTGTCCTAATTTGTCCCCAAACAGTTTATCTTTGGAATCTGGCCAGTGATCCTGTTTGAGCCTCTCAGGAAGCATTGATGAATCATTCCACCAAGAAAACAAGCACCTACCATAGACCTGGCAGAATAAATAAGGAAATCCTTAAAGATCTACAAGTTCAAATATGTCATGACCATCATAGCAGAGGAGTGACTTTCTGACTAATGCTGCCACCCACTCCACAAACAGAATAAGAAGTGAGGCCTGCTGGGTGTTTAGCTCATGGCATTATCTCATTTGTCCCCTCCTCCTTTCATGCTCCAGTTTATAAAGAAACAGAGATGATGTGTGTGTATGCTTCAAATGCAGAAACAATTGGGCTTTTCTTTAACAGGTTAACAGTTTGTGCTGGTTATAAGAAATTAATCTTTTTTTTTCTTTTTGCCAAGGGTTGCATGTGAATTATACTTTTCTTAATATTTGATTAAATAATGCAAACAGTCAGCTAAGGGCCAACAAAACCCCATATCCAGATAGTTAGCTGTGAGCCAGCACTCAGCTTTGTCATATTTGATTAATATTGTATTAATCTCATGGATGGTTCTCAAAGGTAAGAAAAAAAGAGAGAGAGAGAAGAGAGAGTGAGCTAGCTGTGGGATTCTGTGTAGTTCTTCACTGTCTGTTCCAGGGCTAGTCAGAGGATCATAAGCAAGCTCAGACCTGCCCCCGGTTCAATACTTAACCACATCCCAGGATTTATGGTGTCTGCCTATGGCCACAGCCAACCAGAATGAGTGGGTCATCTTATAACGTTTCTGAAGCTCCATGAGGACATGTATGGAATGTTGTGCCTTCAGCCAGCTCTGCTCTGATCTTTGCAGATCTTTAAGTTGTCACCGTTTCTATGGCTAGACAAATAGGACTGGTGGTCTAGACTACCCATAGTTCATCCTCCTCACATAACTTAGTTGAAGTTGTCAGGGAATGTCATTACACTTCGATTTTTTAAATTATGCAGTATTTTCCAGTTCTCAAAGAGAGGTCATGGTTGTGCCCAGGGAAGTGTGTTGCGTTAACTAAAGCTAAAATGATCAGAATCCTATTTACATAAAGCATATTAAAATATCTGCTCCTTAATTTTCTGAAGGAAATAGATGTAAGTTTCTGTTACTTGAAACCTACAGAACCCACAAAAATTAGGGTGATAAGAAATGACAGTGAAATCTCATCGTAAGGCAGCTAGTTCTAATTTGCATTTGAATATATAACAAATTGCATCACTTTTGACAAACATAACACCTGCCTGCAGTAAAAATCTGATTTGACCCCTCTGCTCATGTATCATCATATCTGTAGCTCTGCATCATTTAGCATTTTTATGACTTTTTTTGCTTTTTATAAATTATTTTAAAATCCAGATTGTTTTTACCACATGATGACATGACTCAAGATTAAATCCTAAGCTAGTTTCAAAAGGAAAATCTTTTCTTCTTATGCAAAGATGGTAAAACACTTTTTGTCATTTTTTCCAGTATTCAGTAAGTAGCCTTTGTACAAATTTAAAACCAAAAACTATTCTGTTGTTTTTCTTCACCTACTAGCCTTAGTTTTTAACCAAGTATCCAAAGATGTCAAGTTGACATCCTTCCCTTAGCATGCCCAACAAACCATTAGACCATTAGACTGATTCTTCCACCTGCTTTTATGATCTCCAGGAAGAAAAACACTTGCCAAAACATGAAGAGAACTTTTGTTCTGCCTTAAGGGGGTATAAAACTAAACCATTTGAAGGCACAGCCCATAAGACTGTACTTGATTTTGCCCCGAGATTCTGACTTCTGGCTACATTTCACCTGCAGTTACCTGGGCTATCAGCCATCATACATTTTTAAATTCATTTGTTTTCCACCATTATATTTTTATACTTTTCAGTTAGATATACTTCTACGTAAAGAATATATATACAGTGTAGGATAAAGGCATGTCCTACATGGCAATGCTGTTAAACATGGTAAGACTGAGGTTCTGCAGAATTAAAGTCAGATTAAGGGTACAGAGAGCACATCTTGATACTGAGGCCATTTAGAGCAATTTGTTTAATGAGTGGTTTAGCCATCACCACCAGTGGCCACCTGTTCAATAAAATTGCCCAGCACCATAGTGGAGAGTCATCTACACCCCGAGGTGACCTGTAAGACTGGCCAATTCGTTGAAGACCCTTGTTTCTATTGGGAGAATGGAAAGCAGAAAGGGAAGTCAGGCTCTTTAATGTTCCAAATCAGCTGTGCCTCACACAAGGCTCTCTTTTCAACAACTAAGTAACACACTCAAGACTTTGTGTCTGTGCAGCATTTTATGGAAATCACTGGTGACTTATAGGATATTACTAAATTATCTTTATTTCAATAGCTTTATTTTTTCCTATTCGGATTCTAGGTATACATTACAGGGTTGGATTCCTCACTACCCCCCCCACTGTCATTTGTTTTATTGGAAAACTTCATGTTAACTAGAGTGTACAAAAAGTCTGTTTCCTGCTGAGCCAATAATGATTTGTTTGCATATCACCTAATGTGAACAGTGCTCATCTGTGAACCCTACGGCAAATTATATTTTAGAAAATACTTTGTGAGGCTGGGCATGGTGGCTCATGCCTGTAATCCCAGCACTGTGGGAGGCCAAGGCTGGCAGATCACTTGAGGTCAGGAGTTCGAGACCACCCTGGCCAACATAGTGAAACCCCGTCTCTACTAAAAATACAAAAATTAGCCGGGCGTAGTGGCGCATGCCTGTGGTCCCAGCTACTCGGGAGGCTGAGGCAGGAGAATTCCTTGAACCCAGGAGGCGGAGGGTACAGTAAGCTGAGATCACACCACTGCACTCCAGTCTGGGTGACAGAGCGAGACTCCGTCTCAAAAAAAAAAAAAAAGAAAAGAGAAAAGAAAATACTTTATGAGGATGTAAAAGAAGCAATTTGCTTCCACATCTGAATATCCTTCTTGTGCCTCCATTTTCACTCTGAAAAACTGAAAGCAATTTGACTTTGATTTTTGTTTTTTTAAAGAACAGCTAGGTGAAAGGAGGTTAAGCTGATTGGTCACTCTGCCTGCCCACTATCTACTCCCCACCGTGGTGTTTCATGAAACATCCCCACCACCTGAAGTGATCTTTTTAATCCTTGTGATAGGAAATGCATTGATAATTAACAGGAAAAAAAAATTGTTTTAAAATAATCTACAAATGAGAACCCAAATAGTAGTATTTAGTTTGACAGAAGTAAATCATACGGTTTAAATATAATGCAAAATTTCAGGACACTTAATTTGGGCTTCCCTTACTCTAAGAAGGTTTTTCTTATAATAAGGATAAGACGTGTGGTTTAAAGAAAATTAAGAGACAAAAACTTCAGGTACATAATGCATGAAAATCTTTAAATGCCTGCAAAAATTAAGTTCTGTTATAATACCAGCCAGTTCTGAATTAGCCAATGCCCTAAAAGCATCTAACAATTTAAAGTTATCTTATGAGTCCTATGAAAACAATTATTTGTTGCTAAATTTGAGTTTTGGCTACGAACTCCATGTTTACGTGATAAGAAATTGCTTTGGCCCTGTGGTTTACGATGTGCTGCTGGATAAGTATTTATGTAAAACTGACATTTCAAAGAGAACCTATATATAATGGGAATTTCCACCTGTGTGGCTGTTTGCAGATCTACCTGTCTTCCATTTTGCATCCTATCAGTGCTATAATTAGTCTGATCACTTTGTCTTGTTTTTCAGTGTCTACAATTATAGCTTATTCACTAGGTTCTAACTATTGAAAAATAATGGGCCAGGCGTAGTGGCTCATGCCTGTAATCCCAGCACTTTGGGAGGCCGAGGTGGGTGGATCACGAGGTCAGGAGATCAAGACCATCCTGGCTAACATGGTGAAAACCTGTCTCTACTAAAACTGCAAAAAATTAGCAGGGCCTGGTGGCAGGCGCCTGTAGTCCCAGCTACTTGGAAGGCTGAGGCAGGAGAATGGCGTGAACCCGGGAAGTGGAGCTTGCAGTGAGCCGAGATCACACCACTGAACTCTAGCCTAGGCAACAGAGCAAGACTCCATCTCAAAAAAAAAAAAAAAAAAGACTAAAATTTGATTTAACGTAGTTATGACCCCTTTATGGAAGGAGCTGCAAATGGAAAAAAAAAAAAAAAAAGGAATCATGTCATCTTGACCCAGCTGACTGGAAATTTTCAATACTGTCCTTTAACTGTTGCACTCCAGCCAGCCTGGGCAACAGAGTGAGACCCTGTCTCAAAAAATAATAATAATAAAAAATAAGGAAATACTTGTTAAAATATCTAACTATGTAATTGCTACATGGAGAAGCCACTGGTGGTGTTGAAGTCCTTGGGAGCATTCCACTGAACTTCACCATTTCTCCAAAATTATCAGCTCAGTCAGCTTCATATACCCAGATATGAACACTTCTACACTTGAAATTCAAACTGAAGGTAAATCTCTGACTTTGGACTGTAAACTTTTGCCTTGAGTATGAAACCTTGACATTGCTGAAAGAAAAGTGGAAACTGTAAGGGACAAGTTTCACCAAGGCACAGTCTTCTCTGATAGGCCAGCAGAGCAGCTAAGGAGAAGACAGATCACTCAAGAACTTAAGTCGTTTGTTAGCTACAGCATTTCTGTTGCTGTGATACACATTCAGCCATTTTGGAGGAAAGCTAAGCAGTACTGACCACCCATTTTCATGTACTTTAAATAACAAATATTATTTCTCAAGGTCTTCATTTTATCATTAAATTCAGCTAATTACTACCTGATTTCAAAGGCGGCTAGTGTAGAAGACTGGTCACAAGAATTTTTTTTAAAATAGAAAACCCTAAAATCCAAATCAAGAAATTCAGTTACAGGCTGCAAGTGACCTAAAATTCCCCCACTCTAGCTCAGCAGCCATCAGTCAGTATAGCACCAGCCACAGGTCACTGTGCTCTGCATTCAGCTCCTTTTCAACCCTTACAAGACCGCTTCATTGCTTTAACAATGTAGTGTTGATACTTGAACTGAATTTAGTCATTGGTATCTTAAATATTCACAAAATTGTCATAAAGCTTCTGAAACATCTGGCAATGCCAGATCTGTAGGTCATCACTTTTAAATTGAGTTTGCAGAATTAACTAAAGTTGCAGCAGCCATATTTATTAGAGAAATTTTTAAGCATATACATATGGTTCCCTATAAGCATTCATTCAGAGATCATCTGTGCCTAAAAGAAAATGATAAAAATGTGTCATAATATCAAAGGGGTCTAGATTAGGGGTTGGTAAACTACAACCCATGAGCCAAATCCAGGCTGCAGGTGTATGGCCTGCAAGGTAAGAATGGTTTTTTCATTTTATTTTATATATATTTTTATATATTATTTATCTATAGACAGAGTCACTCTCTGTCACCCAGGCTGGAGTGCAATGTCAGGATCTCACCTCACTGCAACCTCCGCCTCCCAAGGTTCAAGTGATTCTCCTGCCTCAGCCTCCCAAGTAGCTGGGACTACAGACACATGCCACCATGCCTAGCTGATTTTTATATTTTTAGTAGCACTGGGTTGGCCAGGTTGGTCTTGAACTCCTGACTTCAAGTGATCCACCCACCTGGGCCTCCCAAAGTCCTGGGATTACAGGCGTGAGCCACCACACCCAACTGGTTTTTATGTTTTAAAAATGTTTAAACAGAGAAAGAAGAATATGCAACAGAAACTGTATGTAACCTGCAAAGCCTAAAATGTTTACTCTCTGACTGGGGAGTTTGCCTCCCCTGCTCTAGACCGTCAGCAAGTGGTACAGTGGTACAGTACAGTGGTACTGCCCAACTGCACTTCTCTGCAAGGTTATTCTAGTGTGCATTTGTCAGAATGAAAATATGTTATCCATTTAAGACATCTCATGTCTTTGTTGAATGTAGTCACATGATTTGTATTTAATATTTACACAACCGAATTATTTTTTCACATCAGTTTTTCTAGATTGGCAATAGCCTGTTGCAAAGTGCCTAAACCTTTGAGAAAAATTACTATGTGCAAGGTCCATGATTTGCTTTTCAATATAAAGGGAATTCCATTCTATACTATAAAATCCAAAAATGCTAGTTGCCCTCAGCTTTTGAGTTGACTTCCAAAAAGTTGAGATCTTTTAACCATTTTTTCTCATGTCATATAAAATGTGCCACATGGTAGTTGTCAAGCTGTGGTAGTCATGTACACTTTTTTCTTTCTTTTTTTTTTTTTAACTGTCTAAAAGGAAAAGTTCAAAGTCCTTTCCACAGTTAGTCTTGGCTTCTTTTGGATTTTTCTTTTTAGAGCTAAATTATTCATGCCAATGAATAAGTGAGTCTGTTCTAAGATATAGAGGCCATTATCTATTTTTGCTCAATGTACTCATGTGGCATTGTTCACCGTCATGTATTTCCATTCTTTTAATATTTGAGTCACTTATCAATGTGACCAACAGATAAACTGTTCAAGCTAATACAGCATTTCCTAACTTCATAGTTGTCGCAGATGTTTGTTCTAGTAG